TTTCCTGCTCATGGGCAGCTGGACTGGGACTCAGGACACCTGGTTCTCTTGCCACTGACACAGGCAATTTGCCCCTCTCTGGGCCTGTCTGTTTCCCCTCCCACCCTCTGTCTGACGTGTCTCTTTAGACTGTAAGCGCTCCGGGGCAGGGACTGCCCCTTGCTGTATGCTCGCCTAGCACCGTGGGATCTCTGTTTTAAACGGGGCCTTTGGGAGCTTCTAGAATAGAAATAACAAATACGAATAAGGCTCATTAAAAATAGGCTAGCACACCTGAGGGGGCAGGATATGACCTAGTAGTCTGAGGATAACTGGAGTTGAACTAGACCAGTGATTCTCAACCAGGGGTACACAGAGTCTGCCAGCGGTACATCAACTCATCTAGATATTTGCCTAGTTTTAAAACAGGCTACAGAAAAAGCACTAGCGGAGTTAGTACAAACTAAAATTTCCTACAGACAATGGCTTGTTTATACGGCTCTATATTGAAATGTAAGTACAATCGTTATATTTCAATTTTATAATTACTATTTTATAGTATTTCGGTGTGCTGTCCCAGCTCTGCTTGTATTAATTTAGTAACTTCAGGCATTTTTTATTACTTTATATTAACTTTATTTTAAAACTTTGCTATGTGGTAATAAGGAAAGCCCATGTTTCAAAGATTAGTTAGTGGTTAGGATTAGAAGCAGAGTCTGCATTTTTGTTGCTTGGCAACCATATCTTTAAGAAAGTTAGGAGTAATTCCAGCTGTTGCATTTCTGAAGGGCTAAAATAATTAATTTACGGGATTTATTTAAAGTAAAGTTTTTACCTTGGTTTGTTGTTTTGTTCTGTTTTAAATGGCTTTATATTTTGGAGGTTTTTGAAAAACAATAACTTAAGCAAAGAGAGAGAGCAGAAGTGAGGAGAGGTGGGGGAAGGGGGATGAAGAGCAACCTAGGAAGGTAGGGAGACCTGAGCCAAGAGAGATTAACTGTATTAAGGTATGTTAAAATACAGGCAGCAGCCGTGAGTTTAGCAAACTGAGAAAGGATATAAAGGAAAACGTACCCGGTATGTAGAAATATTTGAGAAAGAAGGATCTATTTTTAGGTATGAATGCGGATTCTGTGGGTCAAAGCAGCTTGGAACTCACACCCCGGGTTTGTATAGTAATAGTGTGGCTGTGACACTTTGGTATTTTTATGTCTGACTTTGTAAGCAAGTCGTTTTTAAGTGAGGTGAAGCGTGGGGGTAGGCAAGGCAGATCAGACTCCTGAAAGGGGGACAGTAGTCTACAAAGGCTGAGAGCCACTGAACTAGAAGGTTAGGAGAGCAAGGTCTTAAAGGGCCAGTGTACTTCCAAGGGACCGCCTGAGGCCAGGGAGAGGGGCTGAGCTCCAAGTGCCCTCTTTGGTTTCTCTAACAAAAGCCTGACATTTTTTGTTTTTTTCTTTCTCAAGTGCCCGTACCGAGGGCAGCTGCATGGGGAGAGAGGCAGCTCTCAGACAACCAGGTCCCGAACGACCAAGGGCTTTAAAACCATTCCCCTTGGAAACATACTGGAACCAGTGCAGATCCCAGAGCCAACCCATGCTGGAGTGGGTGGTGTTTGTACTGAGTCCATCCAGCAGAGGGCGCTGGAAACCACATCTCAGGTGCATCTGAGTCAGAGAGCGAAGGTCACAAGTCACCAGCTGTCCTGAAGCACCAAGTGTCTCCCCTGAGTGGATACAGTCTCTGCATGTTTTTCGTTACAGCTGGCAGGGCTGGTTCAAGCAGATCTCGGGCGCTCTTCAAACCCCACAATTGCACTGTCACGGCAGGAGCTGAGATCGAGTTTGGGGTAAAACAGCCCTATTGAAGTCAAGGGCAAAACTCCCTCTGGTTTTTCAAATAGAGCCAGGATGTCATGCATTGTGCCACCCTCCCTGCCCAAACTGCTCGGCCAGGGCCGCTTGGAGTACTCGGTACATATCACCTGGACCCTCCGTGGTATTACCCCCTCAGCACAAAGCAGCTTGTCCGCCATGCCTTGTAGCACTGGAGCTAGGTAATAAAACAGCCCATTCCCTGGTGGGTGGGTCTTCTTGTGGCTGACCTGGCTCTGACCCGGGCGGTTGTACTGCATCCCTGCCCAGTCTGGACCTTTCGGACCCACTCACATTCATCCTTACCCCATGCCCCTCTTACCCATTGAGATTGCAGAGTTGTCTTGCTCAGGGGCTGGGAGATTGGACTGTCTTTAAACATCACAGAATCTGCAAAGAAGCCAAGAACCGACCCTGAACACAAGGAACAGCCCATCTGTGGGACAGCCTTGCCCCTCTGTCCCTGGCAACTCGACTCTGCCACTGGCTTCTCCCTGTTCGGCCTGCTCTATTGCCAACCCCAAATGTTCAAAAATCACGGGTGGGGCTCACCAACAATCACGAGATTGGCTTTAAAAGCATGAGATTATGTAAAAATACTAGATTTGCTGTTCTTTTTATTTCCCCTCTGCTCTTTGAGCCCATAGGGGGCACTGGGGCCCAGGGGTGGGGCATCCAATAGGCTGGGAAAGTCTGTGCCTCCCCCAACAGCCCTACATGACCCCGCCCATGGTCCTCCCCGAAGCCCCCTCCTGCTTGCCCTTTCCCCCTTGGCCCCAGCCCAGGCAGGCTGCTCCTCTTCAGTGGTACTGGGGCTGGAGCTGGCGCTGCCGGGACTTGGGGCCGCCCAGCACTGAGGGGAGGATGAGGGCTGGGGCTATGCCTCATGGCGCTCGGGGTTGGGGCTGGAGGCACTGGGACTGGGGGAATAGGGGGGAGCCATGCGCTGCCTGCCCTGCGCTTGGGGGCTGGGAGGACCACGTGTCACCCAGCGCTCTGGGACGGGGGGCTGGCAACCACAGAGCTGGGGGCTCCAGGCTCCAATGGGGGAAAGGGGCGGGGCTCCGGGGGGGGGCACGGCCAGACAGGGGCTAGACTCCCCCAGCCGGTGTCTGGGGTCACATTTTGAAGCTTTCACCATAGCCACGAGGGCTAGAAACTTACTTTTTCTTTAAGAATGAAAGCTGAAATCATCACACTTCCACCTGACTCCAGGAGCTGGGGCTTTAAGGAAAGCACTAATTATCCTGAGACTCATGAGAGTTGGCAACACCGGCACCCGGGTTCCCTGCAGTTGTGTTTGGTGCAGCCGAGAGACGGGGTGGGTGAGGTGATAGCTTTTATTGGACCAACTCACGTTGATGAGAGAGACAAGCTTTCAGCTACACCAAGCTCTTCTTCAGCTCTGGGAAACTGACTCAGGCTATGGCTACACTGGTGCTTTACAGCGCTGCAACTTTTTCGCTCAGGGGGGTGAAAAAACACCCCCCTGAGTGCAGCAAGTTGCAGCGCTGTAAAGCGCCAGTGTAAACAGTGCCCCAGCGCTGGAAGCTAATCCCCTCATGGAGGTGGCAGCGCTTTGAAGTTTCGAGTGTAGCCACGGCCTCAGAGTGTCACAGCTAAATACAAGTGGAACAGATTGTTTAGCATAAGTAGTTAATACACAGTTTGAGGGACCATTCACGGTAAAGTGTCCCATTAACACCCCCATCATAGGGAGAAAAGGAAGGGTGGGGAGAAGCAGCCATGGGGGTTATTAGTGGGTTACAGATTGTTCTAATAAGCCATAAATCCAGTATGTCTATTTGGGTACGTCCAGACTACCCACCGTATCGGCGGGTAGCGATCGATTTATCGGGGATCGATATATCGCGTCCGAGACGCGATATATCAATCCCCGAACGTGCTCCCCGTCGACTCCGGAACTCCACCGGAGCGAGTGGCGGTAGCGGAGTCGACGGGGGAGCCGCAGCCATCGATCCCGCGCCGTGAGGACGGGAGATAAGTCGGAATAAGATACGTCGACTTCAGCTACGGTATTCCCGTAGCTGAAGTTGCGTATCTTACATCGACACCCCCCGCAGTGTAGACCAGGCTTTTGATCCGGGATATGGAGTGTCTAGCAAAGTTATGAATTTAAGCTCCCAGGCTCGTCTTTTGAAGGTGGTGTGCAGGTTTCCTTTGAGGATGTAGGTCAGACGTAGAGCGATCGATTTGTGAAAAAAGTGTTCCCCCACAGGTGATAGGAGAAGAGTCTGGAGAAGAGAAGATGAGAGGGGACATGATAACAGTTTTCAAGTACATAAAAGGTTGTTACAAGGAGAAGGAAGAAGAACTGTTCTTCTTAACCTCTGAGGATAGGACAAGAATCAATGGGCTTAAATTGCAGCAAGGGTGATTTAGGTTGGACATTAGGAAAAACTTCTTCACTGTCAGGGTGGTTAAGCACTGGAATAAATTGCCTAGGGAGGTTGTGGAATCTCCATCATTGGGGATTTTGAAGAGCAGGTTGGACAAACACCTGTCAGGGATGGTCTAGATAATACTTAGTCCTGCCATGAGTGCAGGGGCCTGGACTAGATGACCTCTCGAGGTCCCTTCCAGTTCTATGATTCTGTGTGTCTGTCTTTTATCATTTCCCTGTGTGAGTTCATTCCAGAGCATCATGATTGTCTGGTTTCAGCAACACAGTTGTGATTGGGGCACTTAGTGCCCTGGAGGGGGTGCCCCACATGTTGGGATCTCTGGAAAGGTGCTAATGGGGCTGTTGATCCTGGGAGCAGTGGAGAGAGGTCTGCACGTTCTGCATCTGTCGTTCTGGCAGGGGCTGGTGCCACTTTGAGTTGGGGTGTCCTGGTCTGTGGGGAGCTTGCGGCTGATGAGGCGCTTCCGGGGGTGTTCGCAGGCCAGGAGAGGAGGCGGGGGAAGGATTTCTATCAGGAGGGGGTCCCCATGGAGGATGGGGTGCCGGCGTTTGATGACACCCGCCCGGGGGCCCTGGCACTGGAAGATGCTGCCGGAGCAGCCTGCGCCAGCCGCACACAGCCCTGCCGGGGGCCCACCCCCTCCGGGGCCTCCGCCGCTCGCCCCAGGCGTGGCTATGAAGGGGCCGGGCGGCTGGAAGAGGGGCCGCCCCCAGCCGCCCCGTCACGGCCTGTGCAGCGCTGCGCGGCGGGGCCGTGCACAGCCCGGGCGGAGCAGGCCGGGACCCGAGCGGCTGGAGCTGCCCGGCCGCCGCCCCCATGGCCCTGCTGCTGCTCCTGAGCCTCCTGCCGCCCGCCCTGCCCCTCTCCGGGCCCGAGACGCGCTGCAGCTCGGTGCTGCTGGACCCCGCCTCGGGCCGGCTGCAGATCGTGCCGCGCTGGGACCCCGCCGCCGTCGCCTGGGCCAACCTCACCGACCGGATCCGAGACACGGGGTAGGCGGGTGTGTGTGTGTGTGTGCGTGTGCGTGCGTGTGCAAACCCCCGGGCCCGAGCCCGCTGATCCCAGGGACGCCGGGCGAGCTCAGACTCGGCAGCTGGGAGCGAGCGAGCCTGGGCTGGGGTCTCCATCGCTGGGTGGGGGGGTCGCTCCTTTGAAGGGACCCCTCGCAGCTCTCGAGGCTGGGGGGCGGTGGGGGGCGAGGGTCGGGCCCTGGAGCTGCCCTGCCCGGGGGAGTTTCTGCTCCGGGGCTGTTCTAGCTGGTTTCTCTGGCCCTTTTCCATCTCCCTCCCTCCCCCCCAAGGCCCTGTGCGGGTGAAAACATCTGTCAACAAGATCTGTGTCTTTTCTCATCCCCCTTTCGCTTCTGCTTTTCAGTGAGGCTGCAGTGCCCCTAACCAGGGGCTCATCCCATTTCTCTTGTTTTCCGCCACTTCTGCAGCATCAGGCCTGTTTGCGCCACCTTCCCGCGGCCCAATGGCCCCACGCGCGTTTGATTTCATTTTCCATTGCGGTTATTGCATTCCACTTGTGGCAAAGCCCATTGCAAATCGCGAAAGGGGGAGTAATGCGGCGTGTGTAGCATCCGTGCAGTTCCACCCTTGAGATGGCTCTGGGTACGTCCACCTGGCAGCCGGGATGGTGCTTTCCAGTGCAGGGAGATAGATGCAGGCTAGCTGCGCTGGAGCGAGTGTGCTAGCAATAGTCGTGTGGCTGGAGTGGCGCGGGCGGTGGCTTTGGCTAGCCGCCCAAGTACAGTGCCTGGATCCCTTGTGACCCTCGGAGTGCATACTCACTCCGCTAGGCCAAGCTGCCGCCTGTGCCATGCTGCAGAACGAACAGTCTGTCTATCTGCAGTGGGAAGCACGCTGCCAGCTGCGGTGTGGGGAAGGCCTTGCAAGACATGCACATCTCTCTGTGTTGCTCGTGAAAGAGACGCTGTCAAGTGGCTTTTCCTCCTTGTGTTTTAGACATTATTATTCCCGTTGCCCTAGCACCAAGAGGCTCCAGTTAGGATTGAGCCTGTTTTAGGCAGCAGCATAAAGCTTTATCCCCATGGTATCTGAGCATCAACCATTTAGAGCCTGGAGCTGTGTCAGGTGCTGTACAAACACATGCTAAACGGCAGCCCCTGCCCTGAAGTGCTGCAAAGGGGTGCCTACGAGACAGATGGCCCTGAGCCAGCTGCCAAAGGCCCTGCCCCCTTGTATTTCCACTGGCCCCTGTGGAGGGCCCCCCAATGTATACACTCTGTCCACTGCTAATCCTCCACATCTTGCCTCCTAGGGATTTTTTTTGGGGGGGGGGGGGGGGGGTTGAATTAGTGAACGCGTGTGCAAGTGCAAAGCAGTGCTGGATGCCATGGAAATGCCAATACCCACCTAAGGGACAATGATTGTGCAGATCCTTTAAGGGAGAGCAGAAGCTTGTCTGGGCCCCCATCCTCTTCCTTTTGCCCTTGATGTCCCCCTTCTGGAGGAAGACCCCGGTAAGCACCTCCCCTGGCTCCAGGGTGTCTTTAGCCCCAGCTGTGTGGTGGGAGAGTGCTTTGGGATTCTTGGGAGCAGCTCCAGACAAAGCAAACAAGAAGCAAAGCACAGGAAGGCCCAGAGAGGGGTTTGCTTTGTCTCGAACTGGAGCCTTTATCTGAAGTGTCCTTCAGATAATGTAAGCTACACACACAGCCCCCGGGGAGCCCAGTTGGAGGGAGTGCATTGCTATGGGCCGCATGGAGACTTTCCATTGTGCATGATCTTTCCCTTGTTCAATCAGTGTCCTCTTTGCTTGGTGCAGGTGGTCCTTCCTGGAGTTGGCCACCAGCGAGAAGTACAATGACAGCCTGCAGGCCTATGCTGCGGGACTGGCCGAAGCCGCTGTGTCCGAGCAGGTAAATGATGGTGCATGGCAGGGGAGAGTCAGACCCACTGGTCTGCAGAGCCCCCTGGTGTCCCAGTCCTAGGTTCCCCCTGTCCAGTTATGCCCCTGCACCTCAGTCTAGACTCAGGCCCAGCTTAGTCCATACCTGGGCCTCTCCTATCAGAGATGGCCAGTGGCGCCACAGGTTAACAGCTCACTTGTGCCCGGGGGAGGGGGCGAGGCTGAGATTCTCAAGCTCGTTTCACATGTGAGCTGAGCCTGGCCAAGACTGAATGAAGCCTGTAGAAACGCAGGGTGGCTGGATTGCCTCTCGGCGCTCCTCGGCTGCCTCCTGCCCTGTTCAGCTTGTCCCTGGCTCTCCAGCCAGCCAACAGAAGATGCCTTAGCGAGGAGGGCCTGGCTTCACCCAGAGGTGATGGAGAACCAGCCCCTCACTCCAGGATGTTAAGTGGATGGAAAGGGGTGAGCAGGCCCATTGTTACACTGCGCCCCCTTCTTCCTCCAGCTCATCTACATGCACTGGATGAACACCATGGTGGGCTACTGCGGCCCCTTTAAATACCAGACTGACTACTGCGAGAAGCTGAAGAGCTACATCGAGACCAACCTGGCCTGGATGGAGGAGCAGATGGAGAAAGGAGAAGCTCTGGAGTACTGGTACCAGGTGGGTGTGTGCTGCTAGGGGGTGGGCAGTGCCTTGCATTTATTTGGGTGTGCCGGTCGCTATGGGAAAAGGACAGGGTCTTTGGGCCCAGGGCTGAAGTCTGAGACGCCAGTTCCCACCGCTCTTCTACAGGGGCCCCAGACCAGGCACCTGCCAGTGAAAACCTGGGTATTGCTCGACTTTAAATACAAAGGGTAGCCAGGAACTGGAAGTCACTTGGTGCCATGAGCTGTAAAACTGGGCCCCTGGCCACTTATGGCCATTAGAGGCCCCCTGGCTCTTTAAGCAAGTGCAGGACTGAAGTTAACCCGGGTCTCCTGGCCAAATTCCAGCTGGGGTGAGTCGATCTGTCCTTCGTAACTCTTTCCTCTTTGCAGCGTCAGTTGGAGAAGTTCCTCCTCACTTCCCCTCCTACAGGACATTGCACGGGCAGCGTTGTCTGGGTCGTTCTGTATGTGCAGGAGGATGGATTTCGGGGGCGAGTCATAGAGAGCCTGATCCATCACTGAGTTCTCACTCGGTCCAGTGGCCTCACTTGGCCGGCAGAACCCTTGATGCTGGTGGAGGAGCGCTCCCAGCCTGGCTCTGGGGGTCTCTGGAGGTGCTGGGCTAGAGGTTCGGGGGAGATCCATCTTGCGGGCTGAGCAGCGTCCTCTGGAGTCACTGAGATGCAATTAAACACGGAGGAGCAGGATGTCCGTTTTCCAGAGTAGAACTGCCCCTCCCTCTAGATTCCCCTTTTCCGATTCTTGTTACCAGCCCCTCCCCTCCACATGTGGGGTGAGATCTCAGACCCTGGCCTGCTTGCCGGGCCCTGTGCGTGGGGGTCTCACCGTGTGCCTGTCCCTCCCCCTACAGGTGCGCCTGGCTCTGCTGCAGCTCAAGGGCCTGGAAGACGGTTATAACGGGCGAGTGGCTTTCCCGACTGGACGATTCTCGGTCGCCCCGTTTGGCTTCCTGTAAGTCCCTTTGGGCGTGAGGTGGGAGCTGGGTGATTGGACTTAACCCTTTCGGTCCTGGCTGATGTGGGGAGCTGGAGAGATGGGGTGGAGTGAATGGGGCAGCTCCAGCGCAGTGGGGCTGGAGGAAGCCGACGGGTGTTGGCCTGGTACGTGCTCAGCAGCTGCAGTGCGCTGGTGGCTGTAGGGAAGAGCTGGGGCGGCGTCCCATAGGCATGCAGCAAAGGAAAGCTGTAGGCTTTAGGGACCCATTATTATCTGCATTGTACAGAGGGAAACTGAGGCACAGAGAGGCGCTGTAATTTGGTCATATAGTGAGTCAGCAACAGCATAGGGAGTAGACCCAGGAGCTCTGACTCTGTGCTTCTGCTCTGAGCCCTAGATGGCACCCCCACCACATGCTCTTTAAAATACAGGGTCCCGGTTGGACATGGGGACTTGTTGCTGTACCCCCTGTCTCTGCAGAACACCCCCACCCCCGCATCTACTTAGCTTGCCGACCAGCCAGCGTGCCCTGGCTCTCGTCGGCCCTGCAGAGCCAAGGTCGCTGAAGAAGAGTGAGGCCAGATTTGCTTCTGCCTCGCGTATCGCTTGCTGGGTTCTGAATGCAGGCCCCCTCCTGGTCAGCCTGTCTCTGTGCCTCAGTTTCCCCATCTGTAAACCAGGGAGAGGAGTTGCCTCTTCCGAGGGTGCTGAGAACTGCTTGTTAACGTTTGCATGATGCCTTGATGACTTCTTTGGGCTGACACCCCAACACGGAGAGGACTTCCCATTTTAATTAAAATATAATGCAGTCCGGCAGCTCCTTTAGAGTACCTCTTAGCCCTTCCTACCCACAATGCATTTATACCCAGGCAGACCGCTCCCAAATACAGATATGCTCCCAGCCTTGGGCTCGAACTGTGTACTATTGCTTCATTAGCCCCTGGGGCTGAGGCGAAGCCTGAGTCACTGAATCCAAAGGTCGGGAGTTCTGCCCCCCATGCCCTGTGTCTGCATTTGCCTCAGGCTGCAGTTTTATGACCGTCACTAGGGCTTGCGGCTTATCCATGGTCAGATAAGGGAGTCCTGGCTGCAGGGAGAACCTGTGGGGACAAAGAAGGGATCCTTAGGGCCATCGCATGCAAATGGCCAGGACCAGGAGGGTGGAGTTTCCTGCTTCCTCCAGCCCGGGGAGTGGGCATAGCTGGGGTAACCCATAGCAGGATTCCAGCCAAGGTGAAGGTAGGTGGCCCGAGGGTCTGCTCTGCTTTGGCCAATCCAGGGGCCTCTGTCTGTGCTGCCGGGGGTTGTTATGAGCCCAGGTGTGTCTGTTCTCTCCCCCCCACCCCGCCTCCAGCTTGTTCCAGCTGGGTGGGGACCTGGAGGACCTGGAGTCGGCCTTGAACAGAACGGAAAGCGAGCACACGCTGGGCTCGGGGTCTTGCTCCGCGCTCCTCAAGCTGCTGCCGGGGAACCAGGAGCTCCTGGTCTCCCATGACACCTGGAACACTTACCAGTCCATGCTGCGCATCATCAAGAAGTACACGCTGCCCTTCCGGACCTCGGCCCACAGTGCGTAACGCGGGCAGGGGCCTGGGGGGTAGCCGCGTGGGCCGGTACCAGGATCGGAGCTCCTTGGCCCTGGGCTGGAGGAGGGAGGCAGGACGAGGGGGTGATAAGACAGCAGGAGTAAGCATGTATCTGGCTACCAGGAAGCGGGATTGCTGGCTGTCCCGTGGGAAGGGCTAGAGGGGTAGCCACCAGACTGGCACTTCCTGAGCCCACAAAGATGCTGTGTAAGTTTCCCTGCTCCTTATGCGAAGAGAGAGAAGGGTCCCGCTCCCCCTGCCCCTGCCTCTGCCGCTGGATCTTGCCGCCACTCTGGGGCGGAGTTTGCTGTGGGAAGCTGGCAGGGCCCGTCTCTGGAGGTGATGGGGCGTGGCCTCTGCACCCCTGATGGCTCCCTGCCGTCTGCTCCCCCAGGTGACGACGTGATCTCGGGGCACGTCCAGACATTCTCGTCCTATCCCGGCACCATCTTCTCGGGAGACGACTTCTACATCTTGAGCAGTGGCTTGGTGAGCAGCTGCTGCCTGCACCCTCCTCCCCTGCCTCCCTCCCCCATGGCCCAGCTGTCCCTGAGTTCCGCCGGCTAAGGATTGAGCCTCCTGCCCCATTGCTGCTTTGGGATTCAAAGCAGGGCCCTGGGTCACTGTCTGCACCAGGAATCCTATCGTCTCAGTGCAGAACCCAAATCTCCCTCTGCCTATGTACTGCCCTACTACTGCACTCTTCACATGGGCAATGGGGCAGACTGTCCCTCCGGCTCTGCCTGTGTCACTCCCCCGCCCCATTGCCAGGAGCCCAGGTCTGGCCTCTGTTGGATCACGCGCATCCTTGCCTGGATTCGCTTATGACTCTGTTCTGTCCCCTGCAGGTGACTTTGGAAACCACCATCGGGAACAGCAATGCTGCCTTGTGGAAATACATCCATCCGGAAGGGAGTGTCCTGGAGTGGCTGAGAAATATAGTGGCAAACCGGCTAGCCAGGAGCGGGGCCGAGTGGGCTGCCATCTTCCAGCAGTTCAACAGTGGCACGTAAGTCGACTAGCAGTCATCCAGACCCTCCTGTCGTGTCCCCCTCTCTCCCCTCCCTTCGGCAGCGATGGGATGGCTGAGTTCAGTCGAGCAGGAAGATCTAACCTGTCTCTGATGCCAGGTTATTGCACAAGGCGCTCTGTGGTGATGGCACAATATCATGGGACATCACGGGACATGCCTTGGCCATGTGGTGCCACGTGTTAGTTAATGTGTTAAGTTTTGGCACATTGCATGATGTCAGTGGCACTGAGACCAAGCAGCAGACTTCAGAGGCTACTAATCTGTGGCTGGTCTGTGTGTGCACCACTGCCAGCTGCTAGTGGAATTATTATTAATCGTCATTGTCGTCATGTTCATTACTCTAATGTCGAGAAACCAGCCAAAATCAGGCCCCTTGTGCCACATGCTGTACGTACACAGTAGCAGACAGTCCTTGCCACGAAGAACTTACCTGCTAAATAGCCAAGATAGATCAAGGGTAGGGGAAAGGCACGGAACACTGGAACAGTTCAGCTGTGTGTCATTGGACCTGTACTGCTAAGGGAGTCTCTCCTCTTATGCAAATAAAAGGGGTTTTGAAGGAGGAGGACCTGAGTTTCATCTCTGTTGTTGCTTTGAAACTCGGTCTCTGTGAGGTGGTCCAGGGACCACTGGGAGTTCCTAGGTCTCCATGGATTTGTAACAATAAGTGAGTCCATTGCTCTGGCCAGAGGGCAGCTTCCTTGGCTCTCAGAGCCACCTGTGGTGCTGCAGGCATTGCTTATGGAACAGCTCCTTCTGATTTCTCTGCAGTTTGTTCTGAAACCAGCCCCAAACGATGTCATGACCTGACATGGCGAGGGGATGAGAAGCGGGGGCGGATGAGTGGAAATACCAGAGTAGGAGGGAATCTCTTTGTTGGAAACCTTGACTGTGTTCAGTTTGTTCCTCACTATGGTGTCCGTTTGTCCACTGCAGTCACGGGCGAGTTGCCTACACTGTAGCCACACAGGGATCCTTCAAACAGGAGCATAAAAACGGCCATTCTGGGTCAGACCAACGGTCCATCTAGCCCAGTATCCTGTCCCTGACCGTGGCCAGTCCCAGGTGCTTCAGAGGGACTGAGCAGACCATGGCAAGGGGGGAGGGATAGCTCACTGGTTCGAGCATTAGCCTGCTAAACCCAGGGTTGTGAGTTCCACCCTTGAGGTGGCCTCTTAGTGATCTGGGGCAAAAATCTGTCAGGGACAGTACTTGGTCCTGCTGTGAAGGCAGGGGACTGGACTCAATGACCTTTCAAGGTCCCCTCCAGCTCTATGAGATAAGTATATCTCCATATAAAAAATTATTGAGTGATCCCATCATCCAGTCCCAGCTTCTGGCAGCCCAAGGTTTAAGGGACACCCAGAGCAAGGGGATGCACCCTTGACCATCTTGGCTAACAGCCACTGATGGACCTATCCTCCAGGAACTTCTCATTCTTTTTTGAACCCCATTATCCTTTGAGCCTTCACAACACACCCTGGCAACGAGTCCCACGGGTTGACTGTATAAATTTATTAACAGTAAGGAAATCACACGCCAAAGAGTGTAGTTACCTTGAGGAGCCACGTGGTGACAGCATAAGTACACCAGGACTGTTACTTGACATTTACTACCATGGCGTAAGGGCACTGAACGCCAAACGCTTCCCCTCTCGTCTCTTGCCCAGGTACAACAACCAGTGGATGATTGTGGATTATAACACCTTCCTGCCGGGCAAAGCTGGCCTCCAGCAGGGGGTGCTCACAGTGCTGGAGCAGATCCCGTAAGTGCCTTCATTCGGAACATTCGGCCGTAATTTATCGGGGTAGCTGTGTTAGTCTGTATCCACAGAAACAACAGGGAGTCCGGTGGCACCTTAAAGACTAACAGATTTATTTGGGCATAAGCTTTCGTGGGTAAAAAACCCCACTTCTTCAGATGCATGGAGTGAAAATTACAGATGCAGGCATTATTATACTGACACATGGAGAAGGGAGTTACCTCACAAGTGGAGAACCAGTGTTGACAGGGACGATTCAATCAGGGTGGATGTGGTCCACTCCCAATAATTGATGAGGAGGTGTCAATTCCAGGAGAGGTAAAAGCCAGTAGAACACTTCGATCTCCCTGGACATTCTATAACAGATTTAAAAGTAACTATTCTTGAACAAAAAACTTCAGAAACAGACTTCAAAGAGAAACTGCAGAACTAAAATTCATTTGCAAATTTAACACCATTAATTTGGGCTTGAATAGGGACTGGGAGTGGCTGGCTCATTACAAAAGCAACTTTCCCTCTCCTGGAATTGACACCTCCTCATCAATTTTTGGGAGTGGACCACATCCACCCTGATCGAATTGGCCCTGTCAACACTGGTTCTCCACTTGTGAGGTAACTCCCTTCTCTTCATGTGTCAGTATATTTATGCCTGTATCTGTACTTTTCACTCTATGCATCTGAAGAAGTGGGTTTTTTACCCACGAAAGCTTATGCCCAGATAAATCTGTTACTCTTTAAGGTGCCACCGGACTCCTAGTTGTTTTTATCCGGCAGTAATGTTATCAAGCTCCTTGTCCCAGCCCTCCTCATGGGCTCTAGAGAGCGACAGGATGATGCCTGGTTTGTTACAGCTCCACCCCCCCCCCCCCCAAATGGAGTCTGTTGTCCCTGCTCTGGCTCTAGCTGTGACACTTGTGTTTACAGCACAGCCTGGACTGGCTGAGACCCCCCCGTTGCTCTGAGACGAGGTCCCATTCCTTGTCTTTAATGCTGAGGCTGTCGCCTGGATAGAGCCGGGGGGGGGTTCTGATAATGGAGGTCTGGCTGGCTCCCCCAAGGCTGGCTAGCTCATCTGCAGCTGGCTGGGCTCTCCTGCTGCGTTACGGTTCAGTCGTTCTAGGCGCTGGTCAAACGCGGAAGCCCCTGCTGAGCCAGGGGGCCTTGGGGCAGCCAGTGGCTGCCTGTGCTTGGGGCAGCTGCCCATTGTCGCTGGCTGGGCAGTCCTCTGGCCCCCTGATTGTCCCGGTTCTTGGTGATCCGAGATGGAGGCTGCACTCCTGCTTTCCCAGCATGCAATCTGCTTCCCATTTGTGTTCTGGTCTCTCATGCCCCATCTCGTTCTCTCTCTCAGGGGGCTGGTGGTCGTGGCTGACAAAACAGAGGAGCTGTACCAGAAGGGATACTGGGCCAGTTACAACGTGCCGTAAGGAGGTTCTCTTCTCTCTCCAGTCCAACCCCCTGGCTTAGGGCATCTTACTCCAGGGAGGTGGGGGAAGGGAAGGGTCAGCTGGGAGAATAGGCGCCCAACCCCTGGTGCTGTCTCCCCCACTGCCCTCCATGGGGTGCTCTTTCAACCACACTGACGGCCTGATCCAAACCCCGTTGGGCTTACAAGGAGCGTTCTCCTCTGCTCCCCCGCCAGCTAGGGCGGGGAGTGCTGTGCTCTCGGGGAGCAGTGCTGCCTGGTTCCAGAAGGGGGCAGCACTCAGCTGTTAAGAGGGACTCCGCCTTGAGTTGTTGTCTGGCGGTTGGCATGGGGTGGGCTTGGCAGCTGGGTGACAACTGGGTGGAAATGCCCCTTTAGAAAGGGCCTTGCCCTGATAGGCTGTTCTAATAACACCTCGCTGAGTGGGTCTTAAAGCGCTTTACACGACCCCCCTGAGGCAGGGCAGGGCTGCTATCCCCCTTCTACAGGTGGGAAACCGAGGCACAGAGAGGCTAAGTGACTTGCCTCCGGTCACATTGCACGTCTGGGTCACAGCAGGGAGCTGAACCTCCAAGTCCTAGGCGAGTGCTCGTATCACCCGGCCATCCCTTACCTTCCCCCATCCCTTTGGCGCCTGGCCTGGCCTCCCTGGGGTGGGGGTGGGATTCCTTGAGGCACATGTACAAAGGCAGGAGGGGTCCCTGCTCGATCTGTGTGTTACTCCCTCCCCCCCATCCCCAGGTACTTTGAGCAGATCTTCAACGCCAGCGGCCAGCTGGAGCTGGTGAAGAAATACGGCGACTGGTTCACCTACGACAAAAACCCCCGGGCCCAGATCTTCAGGCGCAATCAGACGCTCGTCCAAGACCTGGACTCCATGATCCGGCTCATGAGGTGAGGGCTTCTCTGTGGGGAGAGGGAGCTTGGCGCCGTCTCGTGCCGGGAGGGCGTATCGCTCGTGGGAAGAGCGGCCCTCGAGACACACACGCTCCATGCGCTCTGGCACCTTGGCACGGGCAAAGGTGTGCTGGGGGGACGGGTGCAGAGTGGGAACCAAGCTGTCTGTTTGTGTGGGGGCAGAGGGAGAGTGTTAAGGGCTCTATTATTGTAGGGTTGCCGCTTATCCTGATGATGACAAGGCAGCTGTGCGTGCTGGCCACGTGGAACGCTGACAATGGGGCCTGGGGCATCCTTGAAGCTGATGCGCTGTCACTGCATCTCGACAACGCCTGGTGTCACAGCGGTGATCGTGCCATGGCACGATGATGCACTATGGCTATTGTCTCGAAGGAGCCAGCCCCTCCTGTGTGTCAGGCCGGGAACGGCCGGGGCAGGTGCAGTTACACAGAGAGGTGGGCTCAAAAAGCCAGATCAGGAGCATCCTTCAGCGTGAAGATGTTCGGATCCTGAGGGTTTCCTGAGGACTGTCTCTGGTTACCTCCAGGGGCTGATCATCCCTGACCACAATCTCCACTTCCCTCTGCCCCCTAATCCAGCGCGGTCTGAGCTGAGCGAGGGCTGAGGTCAGATCCCACCTCCATAGCTCCAGGAGCCTGATCCAGCGCTCACTGAAGGTGACGAGACTCTGCCCTGACAACGTTGGCTTTCTGGGGCAGCTGCTACAGCGATGAGCCTGGTGTAAGAACTTAGAGCAGAATCTCTCCCCTCCATCCCCGGTTCAAACCCAGCCTAGGGTCTTTCCCCCCTCCCTTCCAGGGCAGAGCTGCCCCAGTGGCTAATCCAGAGCTGCCCCAGTGGCCCAGCTCCCCTCCCCTTGGGGCTGCCTCCATTGAACGTGTTCGTGCTGCCTCTCAGGTTCAATGACTTCCTGAAGGACCCGCTGTCCCTGTGCCAGGGCTGCGACCCGCCCCAGAACGCCGAGAACGCCATCGCCGCCAGGTCGGACCTCAACCCCGCCAATGGGACCTACCCCTTCGCTGCGCTGCGCCAGCGGTCGCACGGGGGCACGGACATGAAGGTGAGGGCCACGGGGGGAGTCTGTGGTGGGTGAGCGCATGCTCCTGCAGGGGGGAAGCCTACTGCAGCCTTGGCTAACAGAGTGGCTCTGACGGTGGATCCAGCGGTCATGGGTTCAATCCCTGCTGCTGACAACTCATATATGTGTGCGCGCTCCAGCTTCATGGACTCAGCCCAGTTCGAGTGTTTCCGCCTGTCTTGCCCGCGAGTGGCTGGAGGCCGTCCGGCAGCACCTGTGCCCAGAGATGCTCCCGCTGACTCTGCGGAAATCGTCAGACGCTTGGTTTTCTCTCCCTAGATCACGTCCTATGCGATGGCCAAGGGCTACAGCCTGATTGCCGCCAGCGGGCCCACCTGGGACGACGTCCCCCCTTTCCAGTGGAGCACCTCTCCCTACAGCAACCTGCTTCACATGGGGCACCCCGACCTCTGGAAGTTCCCCCCCATCAAGATCTGGTGGGACTGAAGTGGAGCCTGGATCCCCTGGCGCGTGTGGCCGAGTGGATTGGAGCAGGGATGCTGAGGGTGTGTCCCGTCCCCCTGTCTGTCTTGTTATAGTCTGGACTCTGGCCTATCCGCTGGGGGGCTGCTCCACCCCAGCTGCCTTTCCCCTGAGAAATAAGGGAAGAATGTCTCTCTCTGCAGGGGGAGCACAGGGGATACCTGGGGTGGGGGGAAACAACAGAGGGGGCAGCATGATGATCTTGGGTACAGTGCAGCTACTGCATCAGATTTAGCCCTGGCGTAAGTGGCTGGAGTTTGGTGAAGCCGATGGCCATTGCACCTGCTTCTGCCAGGCCTTGGTTTGGCCCAGCTTGTCATTTTGCTGCATTGTCTTAACTTGCAAGCTGGCTTCTTGCCCTCCGAACAAACCGGGATGCTCCCCAGAAGCCAGGGGAACCCCAGCCTCTTCTGCTGCCCCCTAGTTCCCCTCCTTCCCTGCCCCGCTGGTTGTTCGGTCACTGTCACTCCCGCCTCTGAAGACCGGAGCTGCCACCAGGTCCCCGGGGAAGGAGGAGCTGCCTGCTGGGACCCCCCTGGGCTGCCAACTTGTGTGGTGGCACCGAGAAGCGGGCGGGCCCACGGTATAACCCCTGGGGGTGACCCACGGGAAGGAGCGCTAGTGTTCTCGGGAGCGGAGGCGGAGCTGTCCCTCTGAATGTAAGGCAGAGAGGCGGGTTTGCCTCTCCATCCCCTATCCCTCAGCGCTGGGCCTTGAGGGAGGGCATTGTCCCAGCTGGTGTTTGCAGCCCCAGGAAGATCGCTGGTGAAGTGCTCTCCAGGGGGCGGGAGGCCTGCCCCCCCCCCACCCCTTTGCTGCGTCTCTCTGCACTGCACTCCAGTGCCTGGGGGTGACTGCTGCTGTTTTGCTCATGCTGCCTTTGAATCCTTCGCTGCTCTTTGATGCAGCTGTGGCTTGGGTGATGCCCTTGCCCTTTGCTTTGCTGGCATCAGTGCGAAGGAAAAGCCCAGCGGGCTGCCCATAGGGCACCGCCTCAACCTGAAATCTTTCTGCTTTTGTGCCTGTTGTGCCCGCTACCTCCTTAGGCCTGGACCCACATGGCGCCACAGGCGTGGGGCTTGTGCATGTGAGGAAGCTTTTGCCCGTTAAAGGGAAATGGAGCAGGGTTCGGCAGGAGACCACCAGGGCAGACCTCACTCCCCTTGAAAAGTGACAGCAAGGAAGGCTTAAAGCCAGGATCAGATGCTCCCCGGCCAGAGGCGTTCTTACCCCCTTGGCTTAGCTGCCAGTTGGCTCCAAGTGGGGCTGCAGCGCAGGGCTTGTTCTGGGTCCCCAGTGCAAACCCAGGAGTTCTGGGATCATGTGTAAGCAGGATTAAAAGAGCTCTTTGGCTTGGTTTTAGTAATAAAACGCCCGGAGTCGTTTCTTGCCTGGCTCTCGGGATGAGAGGAGGCGGGTTGGGGTTTCAGCTGCCATGAAGACTCCTAGATTGGTAAGGCCCATAGGGACCGTTCTGACCATCCAGCCTGACCTTGTATCGCACGGGCCGGAGAACTTCGCCCTGGGATTCGTGCTCCAGGCCCAGAACTTCTGGCTGAGCTCGTGTATGGGGTGCAGAAGATCTCCCGTGAGGTCGCTTTTCCAGCTAGGAGCCCTTGCTCCTTCCTCTCGCCATCACAACCCCACCAGCCCTTTCCGGCGTGAGTGTGAGGACGCTCCTGCACCTGCATCACTCAGCCCCTCCCCTCGCCCCAAGCTCTTACTGCTCACACAGTTGGGTGCATCCATGAAAGCAGCAATTCAGCACAACTGGGTCGGTCAGTCGGTCCATGCTGCTCAACTGCCGGAACGTGATGGGGCGGAAAAGTTGGGCAGCCATCCCTTCCTGCCTCAGCTTCTGGGGCCAGGGGCAAGAGCCGGGGTGGGTGCCTTTTGGGACAGCCATCCAGCGAGATCTAGGAGGTGGGAGGCCTGGCTAACCCATCTCCTAGGCTCAGGTCCGTGGGGGCAGAAGCCGATTGCGGCCCGAGGGTTGTTTTGGAGCCAGGGCCAAAGCAGGGTACGGCCATGAAGTGTGTGGGGCAGCAGCTGTGTCCCAGCCTTAGTGCCGACCCTTGTCTGCCCAGCCGAGCTCCTGGGCCTGCTTTGGAGAAGAGCAAGGAATGTCCCAGGGTTAGTGCACCAGCCGGCAACTTAGAGACCTGCATTCACGTCCCTATTCCAGCACAAACCTCCGGTGTGGCCTTGGGCAATGGTTCCTCAGTTTCCTCATGTCTGAGAGGGGGATAGTAGCCCTGCCCTACCTCTCAGGGGTGGTATGACCTGATGGGAGACCTGAGAGTACCAGAGCTAGAGAGATGGTAACGGGGCCTGCTAGTGATATTTCTAGTGGTCATAAAATGATTGCAAAGTCCTCTTAATCTAGGTTCCTTGATCTGCTCTGGCAGGCAGGGAGCAGTTGGGAGTGATCACTTCATTGGTTTGGGACTGATTAGCTAATGTTTATAAAGTGCATTGAAGGTTTTTATAAAGGGTTCACCAAGGGCTAAGTCCATCTGGCTCCACAGAACGACTAGACCATAAGGGAGAGATTTCCTTTGGGAGGCTTTAAACTTTGTCTAATTAGCTGCCCCTTCTGGCTTAGATTCTTGGATTAGGGAATGGGGCAAACGAGTGGCAATGTGTTCATCATGCTCTTCAAAATCCCCCAGGGCTCGGGCAAAGCCCCTCCGTAAATTCAGTCCATGCTAAAGAATCCACACCCTCCAAATCTCTCATTATTGGCATCATCTTTCTAGACGTGGGAATGTACGGGAAGAAACTACTTGATTATCTTTCATTGGACTAACTTTCGTTGGTGAAAGAGACACGCTTTCTGTATCGTAGTCTCTATGCTGCTAACTGTTGAGGGAGATTCTCTATGCACAAGTGCCAGAGAATTGTCAAGTTTTGTCGTGCTGGTTTTTGCTGGAGGACTCCTTGGAGGTCTTGGGGATCAAGGCTGCGGGCCTGATTCTCCTCTTTCTTACCCTGGTGTGACTTCATTTCTCATGATGGATGTGTGGCGAGAGGAGAATCCAGCCTTGGGAGCCTTCTCAGCCCTAATCTCTTCCCCTCAGTGCGGTGCAGGCATTTGTGTTGAATAGGTGGCAGCAGACAAGGAGTTTTATTCGTACTCTTCCCTTCTCAATTAGGGCCTGATCCAAAGCCCACTGAAGACTCCCATGGGCTTGGGTCCTTTACTTGCATGGCAACCCTTCCAACTACTCCATAACAAGTCACTTCACCCCCTGTGCCTCGGTTTCCCCATCTGTAAAATGAGGCTAATGAGGCTAACCTCCTTTGTAAAGTGCTGTGAGATATTATGAAAGGCACATTCTCCAGCAGTGCCTCTGAAAGAACAAACCCGGCTGGCCAGTAGTGAAATGTTCCAGACGTGGCCGTTTGGGGATAGTGCAGACGGCTGGAAAGGCAGCAGGCGTTCGATCCCAGGTGCTGCTCAGCGGCTGGGACCAGCCCTTACTGCAAGGGGGTTGGTTGATTGATGGGAAGGGGAGGAGGGTCAGGGGCTCCTTGCTTGTGTGGTATGAGCACAGAAACTCCTCCAGCCTCTGGCAGGCAGGGGGACTTATCCACCTGTTCTGGGTCCTGCCAATATCAGGCAATGGGTTAAGGAGGGCGGGGAAGGGACAGACTCATTTGTTCAGCTGCGTTCAGATACCCCCTTCACCCAAACCTGTTTGGACTGAAGGTCAGGTTCTGCCCACCCCCAGCTCTCATCTTGTCTTTTTGGAGGGGTGGGGGGATTCTAGGCCTCAGCAGATGGCTGGAGGTGGGGCCCAAAAGAACCCCCACTTTCCCACCCCCCTGGATCCAGCTCAGAGCCTTGTGCGTCTCCAACTAAAGCGCCAGCCTCCTACCTCGAACCCCATCAAGGCCTTAGCTGGTTTACCAGCATCTTTCCGTGCAGCGGTTTTCTGCTGCCAGCCACCCTCAATGCTACTCCTGCAGAATAGCGGGGTGGGGTGGGGAGCTCTTGGGTTTCAATGCACCTTCTAGTTTTTAAACAAAAACTGTTTTGGTTTTTTTGACTGAATAAACATTTTTAGTGAAATATTTTCATTTTGGTAAACATTTTACAGCATTTGGGTAACACATTCAAAACTGAATGTGGAATTTCTTTCCAGGGGGGCTGTTTAAGTTTTTATGTCAAAATACCAGTTTTTCTGAAACCCAAACGTTTGTACAGAAAATTGAAATGTTTTCAGGGTTTTTTTAAAACTGAAAAATGTGCATGGGCCAGTTAAGAAAACAATGGACTTTTTTGGTGTTTTGGCAAAATAATTTGCATTTCCTGCCCTGCTTTATTTCTCACCCTTCAGTGGTCTCGCCTTGGTCAGCCCTTCAGGCTGGGTTGGGTGGGTGAAGGACACCCCAGCTGAGAGGATTTGTTCGGACTCTCCGTCTGTCTATGTATCTACCTCGAGTACCTATACACGGAAAAGAAATTTGAGAGTAGCTAGAGGACTCTTCAGTCTAGCAGACAAAGGTGTAACAAATCCAATGGCTGGAAGCTGAAGCTAGAGAAATTCAGGCGAGAATGAGGGGCACATTTTTAACACCGAGATTAATTCACCAGTGGAACAATTTACCGTGTGTTGTGGTGGATTCTCCATCCCTGGAGTTTTTTAAAATCAAGCTGGGATGTTCTTCTAAAGAGCTGCCTTCGTTCAAACAGGAATTAATTCCGGGGCATCCTGTGCCGTTCTACAGGAGGTCCGACTCGCTGTTCACAATAATCCCTTATAATCGATGGAGCAAGGTATGGTACTTAGCATGGTGATGGGGGCCAGTTATCTGAGCACCTCACAATGTGTAATGTATTTATCTGCACAACCCCTCACTAATCTGGCACTAGAAACTCCTGGGTTTGGATTCCAAAGTCACAGGTTCAACCCCCGTGCTGCCAACCCACCCAATGGCATCAGCTTACACTAACGCCAGGAGAGTCCATTGCTGTCAACCCAAAGGGCATGTCTATGCAGTTTCCTCCTCTGGAAACCCAAAGAGACCTCTGCAGAGAGCTCCTTTAGGGGCCAGTCCATGGCAGAATGGATGTAGGGTATAGATGGGGAATCTCAGTGCCTGCTTTTAAATCCAGCAACAGCTGAGCAAGAGAAGGGGGGGGGAGAGGTGGGGTCACAGAGAGCTCGTCAATCTCTTTCCTCCCTAGAAGGAATTTCCGCCCCCCGATTCTCGGAAACATAGAATGAAAGGGGACAGACAATTTCGCCTTAGCCCTAAGAGCCCAGCACAGGGATAGCACTTTCAAAGACATCACCCAGCGTTCCCAGACAGACATCTCTATTTGACTGAGCAGAATGGGTTGATTTCAAGGGGATTAAAAAGGGAAAGATCATAGGGGTTTTAAAAAACCCTTCTTTACAGATCAATGTGAATCCTAGTATCAGTAATGCCATCAAATCCGCGGGATTGCTAACATGTCTTGGCATTTATTTCTGCTGTTTGTTTCCTCCCGGTGTTTCTCTCATCAAGAATCTAAATAGATGTGTGTGTCTCGTTCACGTTTGCAGTGTGGCCAACTCCTGAGATATCAACTGCGCTGCTCAAAGCCCCAGCTTCTGGTCACGTGATTAGAGGAAAACCTTTGCTTTCATTTTTAAAATATGTAAATTTCTAGTGTTCCTGGTTGCAGGAGAAAGCTTGAAGATATGACCCTAGTAGTGCATCCTGAAGGCTAGGAAACCAGAAGACAAAATTAAAAAAAAAATCCTTTTTTTATTATATATTTTTTAATTTCATGATTTTTAAATCATTGTAATGATTTTGTGGATGCTTGGGATTGACACCCAGGCTCCTGGTGCTTTTCACTTGTAGGTGCTCATGCACTTTCACACTGCTGCAATGATTAGATTGCAAACACTGTCTGGGTGCCCAGCAACTGTACCTAACTGGCAGGAATCCTCCCAGCCCGTCAGGCCTGCGGCATTAGAAAATAGGCCACGAGGTTAGTAACTAATCATTCTGAGAAACGGCAATTCTGGAGGTTTATTACTGACACAATCTTGTTTTCTGAACTTCACAATGCCAGGCAGCTGCCATTTTCTATTCAGTGCACATGCTGCCTGCTAAGGAGGAGAAAAACACCCTGTGCTCTCCCCAGTGGTGATCTTGCTTGAGGCCTCTCTTGTTTTGCTCCCCTCCCACCTTAAATGCAGGCGGTTCTGGGTGAGAGAAAACAGAGCAGGGCGGTCTCTCCAGGATGGGTTTGGTCACTTACTAAACATCACCCACATCTGTTTGTCCCTGTTAAATGCGGGAGGGGCATGGCTGTGTTGTGTCACTTCCTGTGACACGTTGGCTGAGTGTGTTTTGTCTCCCTCTAGTGGCTGGGTCCACATCCAGCCGCAGTGTCCAACCTGTAGCCCTTGTGAGTTGAAGTGTGCTCCCTGAGCCATGGTCTGTGGTGCTTTTTTTTTTTTTTAAGCTGCAGGGTTTAAATAAGCCCTGTTGCTACAGGGAGACAGAAGGGGGTGCTACCCATCCCCAGCCATCTCCCACTGCTGCCCCTGTAGCAGCTGCAGTGTGAGCTGGGAATGCAGTTTCTCAGCACTGCCTCAGCTGCAGCATTGCGGGGGAAGGAGGTGAGAGTGGTTCTTTCTGCTCTGGTGCTGGGCTGTGGGAGCCCAAGGGAGTGTAGGAGAGGAGGGTTACTGGCTCTGCCTGAGACAAGGGATGCTCCTTGCACACGGTACCTCCTCTCTCCCACACAGGCCATCACAGGAGAGGTGAGGAAAGAGGCTTTGCCCCAGTTCTGGTTTGAGCAGCCTTGGGGTTGCTCTGCCTTTCACCGAATGGCAACAGCCTCCTAGGGATCACATGCCAGCTGGAGACAGCCAGAAACCAGCCACTCTCCCTAACACTGCAGGACTTGCAAAGAGGGAGCTAGAGGAGCCAGCTATGCTGGCTCTGAGCCAATGGGGACTGTCTTACATTGGGGTGTGGGGGGAAATCAGACTTTTCTTCCCTTTGCCCCACCTGAGCAGCACAAAAGGTGCAGATCAGGACACAAGAATTACCCCCCAAATTATAAACTCTGGCCCTTGACCTTGTGTGTCACAATATGTTCAGCCTTCAGGCTGAAAAAGTGAGAAACCACTGACTTAAAGGATAAAAACCTATTACTGCCCCGATAGCTAATGGAGCTATTCCCTTAACTCAGGTGGCAGAGGCCTGTGCTTTGGTACAAAAGTTTCTGGATTCAAACTCCTACGGAAAAGAGTTGTTACATTTCCACAGCAGAGAGGGAGGATGGTCCAGGGGTTAGGGTATCAGCTAGCGACCTGAGTTCCATTTCTTGCTCTGCCACGGACTTTCTGGATGACCTTGGGCAAGTCATTTATCTCTCTGGGCCTCAGATTTCCATGTGTACAATGGGGTAACAGCCCTGCCCTGCTTCACAGGGCTGTTATGACGCGCTCAGGGTCTCCAAGGAGTAGAGGCGAGATAAAATCCCAAGATGGTGACACCGGGGCAGCCTCACTTAAAATGGTCGTGCAGCTCTGTCTGGAAACAAACGAGGGACGCAGCCTTATAGAAATACAGATGGTTTTTTTTTACATGCAAAAAGTTAAATAGTGGACACTATTCGAAAAGCCAGCATGTTAGGGCATGCTGAATTCTGGCTACAACATCCAATACTCATGCCTCAGACTAACCTCACAAAAAGAAAAGGAGTACTTGTGGCACCTTAGAGACTAACAAATTGATTAGAGCATAAGCTTTCGTGGGCTACAGCCCACTTCTTCGGATGCATATAGAATGGAACATATATTGAGGAGATATATATACACACATACAGAGAGCATGAACAGGTGGGAGTTGTCTTACCAACTCTGAGAGGCCAATTAAGTAAGAGAAAAAAAACTTTTGAAGTGATAATCAAGATAGCCCACTACAGACAGTTTGATAAGAAGTGTGAGAAT